TTTCAGTACATCATTCAATTTAATATTCTTAACAACCACATGATATTATTATTACAATAATTATTATTATCATCATTTTACATATTCATGGAAGTAATAGTTACTGAGTTCCTACTATGTTCTAGTTAAATGGGAAAACTAAAGTTCAGAGATTTTTAACTAACTTGCCTAAAAGTCATACTTGTAGTCAAAATACAAGTAGAGGATTCTGATTTTTAAACCCAAATTGTAAAAACTCATTGAAAGTAATGACATAAACGACAATTATTTTTGCACCATATTAGCATGAAACAAAAAGTAAATTAAAGTCTTAGAAGAGTAATTTAGAAAATCGAAGTCAAAATTCTCCTGTATTTTGCATAGCTGAGGCTATTTCTAGAGTATGTAAATACAACTTAAATTAGAGAAGTATATGATTGTTCAAGGCAGGTGAACTATAAATACTTGACATTATAGAGAAAACTTACTAAATATACTCACCATACAGTAGCTTTCATTAGAACTGCATTTTGCTGAGCATTATTAAATTAAAGGATTTTTTGGATGAGAGCAAATCCAAAGATAAAGTGCCGGTTACCTCTTATTTTACTACTAGAACAGAAAGCCCAAAGGGATTGAATCCTGGCTGAGGTCACACCAGAGTGTAATGGAAAAGCAAAGACTCAAATTCTGTTCTATGACCAAAATCTGTTATTCTTTTTAACAAATAATTGTGAACATAATACTTACATTTTGTACTTTAACATAAAACATTTTATGAGCTAATGAGCACCTCAAATAACTTGATGCTTTAAAAACAACAATATATCAATATTCCACAATAATACTTAAAGACAGCTAACTTCAAAATCTGGTTCTTTCCTCCCTCTTTTATTATTGTTTTAAATCCTGCATCTGTCTCTATTCCATGCCCTGTATATCGTTTTATCAGCCACTGGACTCTTAACTCATTCTTTAAACAAAACCTCAATTGTTTGTATTACATGGTACATTGTTTGTGAGGTCTCACATTATCTCAATCTCCTTTGTGCCCTTAAATGTCCCCCTATATCTTAGCCTCTACTTAAGCATGTTGAAGTCCTGTCCTGTGCTCTTTGTGAGCCACTTGAAGAGTCAAGTGTCAATGATTGTTCTTTTTATGTATCCTATACCAACCAACATACCACCTTGCTCATAAAAATAATTGTATTTTATTAAAATTAAAGTTTATTTCAATTTAGATCCACTCTATACATATCAGCTGATATATTAGATATACATATAGACAAGAATATAAATATGTATTTTAAGATAATTATATTCATTATTGAGAATCTGATAATGCTATCTTAGAATAATAGGGAATTATTTTGCTATTGCTTGATATGTTTAATCTTTTAATATTTTATCTCTTTAAATTTGTGAAAGTTTTGTAATGCTCTGAAGGAATAATACTTATAAAATATGAACTTGTTGAATATATAATCCTTTTGGGGAACAAATGCTATTTTATCAAGCTATAAGCAACCAGGATATAAGTTCTTGATTAAAATTCATTTAGTGTGTTATCTGGCTGAATGTACTTAGAAGAAATCTTTGACACGTTGATCAGATTAAATTGATTTAATCTCAGCTGAAACTTAAGTTCGGCATTAGTCATGGATAATTACTGTCAGAAAGGGTATGTTCTAGCTATTCATTTACATAATATGAGCTTTCTTTGGATTGCATATGAATTAATTAAATTTCCTTTAATTGTAGCAGTTACATGCAACACACAGCTTCTAGCTAGTGTAAAACAGTTCATTAACTTCTACAAAATGGAAAATATCCTAATTCAAATCTCTGAACTAGAGTACAGGCTTTAAGAGAAAGGATTTAAGAGAAAATAGGAGAAATATTGTGACCAACATATGTATGGTAGATATGACATGTTATAGTACAGCATTCCTCTAAAATTGGGAAATTGCACCAATTCAGAAAGCTACCTCAATCTGTGACTAAAATGCAAAATGATCAGACTTTTAAAACATTAGCTCATTCTTCAATTCTAAAATAAACAAAACACTCTTTTGAAAAATCTTAACTCATTGTTTGATAGTAAAAAAAAAGACAAAAAATTACACAAAATATAAGTATGTGAATCAAATTTCTCTATTATAATGGCAGCCCCATATAGACTCTATAAACATTAAATCAACAATTTGCTTAATTCAATACTGGCATAAGGACGGGGAAATATTTTTCTATTTCGAAATCAGTATTTTTATACTTTACATTAAAGTATTCTACTTTATTTTATAGTAATAATTGATGTAATTTTGGACTTTCTTTTAGCACATTAATTTTTTTTTTGAAAGTTCAGATAAACTAAATTTAACGGAGTTTGTTTGCACAAAGAACAATTCAGCAATCTGGCAGCACTTAGGACCAGAAGAGATTCAGAAAGCTCCACCTAGCGGTGAGCTATTATAGGCCAAACACAGAACCAAAGTAAATAAAGGACCTGCTTGGCTACCACTAGGCATCTATGTTATTTGGCCATGGTTGGATGAAGCATTTACCTTTTTTGGAACTGATCTGATAAACTGGCTTCCTGTGATTGGCTGAAGCCTGGTTGTTTGTTACAAAAATATATTCCTAAAATTAATTTTGGCTTGTTTACATATTGATAAGTTAGGGTACAGTTTCTTACTTAGGAACTCAAAATACAGAGACAGCTTCAAGCTAATGGACTCCTGCTTATTTAATTTAACATATCAAACATTAAAAAGCAATCAAGTAAAAATAGCAAAACTTGCCCAATACCATGTCAACCTTGCTAATCAACTGTGTTCATTTTTAAATTTCTTTTCCTAGTATCTTCCAAATAATAGCATTATTTTATAAGGTTTTGATTATAGCATTAACTTCTCATCTTTTTCCACTTAAGAGCATTTTAAAATTATTCACCTAGTCTTTCCCTTAGTGTTATATATTTTAATTATGAGTTAGGATTTCAGTAAGTTAGTGCCCTAAAGTTTGGTCCTGGAAGCAGCAATATCGTCATCACCTGGGAACTTGTTAGAAATATAAATCTTGGACTAGACTCGAGATCTACTGAATCAGAAATTCTGGGGTGAGGTGGAGAAAATAATTTGTATATTAACAACTTCTCTGGGTGATTGTAAGCATGCCAAAATTCAAGAACTACTGCATTGCATGAATTTTCCAAAATTGATTTTTTGTACAAATTTTCTTAAATTTTAATTTCAGGAGTACATATACAGGTTTGTTACATAAGCAAATGGGTGTCATGAGAACTTATTATACAGATTATTTCATCACCCAGGTATTAAAATATTTCAGTGAGTTATCAACATTTAAAATAACATTGGAGATACATCGGAAATATCTTTTCAATACATTATTTTTCCATCTATTTGTTTTAAATTTCATGGAATGCTTCATGAATAATTACAGTAGTTTATCAAAGAGTGAAATAGTTTGAAATTTTTTACAAGTAGATTTGTTCTCATTTTCACTGCTATCAGAAAATATAAATTAGTTTTTTAAAAAATATGCCATTGGTAGTATTGATCTTTTTGTGTAATTTTAATTTTGCTAATTTAAATTCCATTAGAAAATTCATGCATAAATATGAAAATAAAATTAATGTATGAGCTTCCTTTAAAAAAGAACTAAATTGATTAAATACATTTCCACTCACATATTTATGTCCTTATCAAAACCAATTTTTGAAGAGCTGATAATAATAATAAGTAACACTTACAAGGAGTTTTATATGTGCCAATTGCAACCCTCTAATCTTGATAAAACTATGAGGATACAGTATTGTTATCCCTATTTTACAAATGAGGAACCTGAGTTATATCTGAGTTATAGATGTGTTAAGTAGCCACCTGGGGCCCTAAAGCTTGCAACTAGGGATTTAAACTCTGGATCAGAATCCATGTTCTTAATTATTATGATGCTGTTATGTAGCGACGGCTTAAACAAACAGCTGAAAATATTAATATATACTAAATACTCAAAAAATTGCTATGTTATACTTGTAACCTTTCAAATATTTACTTTCTTTTTTGCAATACATAAGTGTCATTGATGCTAAATATATATATACATGTATATGTGTATACATATGTGTATACATATCTATGTGTATGTATGTGCATATGTATATTCAATTTACTGCCATTTTTCATTTTCTAAAATTCTCAAAGCTAAATCTGCCTAGAGAAGCATAAGGAATTGAAGTTGCTAATTTCAGCCTTAGTACAAGACTGCTGGATTCACTTAAAGGTTTCGGATGCAAATTGAGTTTATTAGACTATATAAGTAACAAGAAAATATAATTCTTCATGATTTGTTGATTTAATCGTGATATGCATCAGTGATTGTCAGGTGGCAAAGGTCAAAACAAGAAAGGATCATTATATCAAACAATTTTCAAGAGACAGTTATTTTCCACTCCTGTCTCCTTACATTTTCTGCCTTGTATATACATATTTACTTTCTCCTATCTACAATTCTGTTACTGTAAAAGCTAAAATTTATGAAACATCTATCATGTGCCAAGGATGTGCTTTCTGTGGATTATTACATGTAACAGTTTGAACAACTCTAGAGCTGGTCCATACTATTATTCCCATATTACAGATGGGACAACTTGGCACAAGGAAGGAATTTATCCAAAACATAAAGCTAGTAAATGGTCAAGCCACGATTTGGTGTCAGGCAGTTTAGCTTTACAGACCTTGTCACTAAGCACTACACTCCTCTGGGGAGGGAGAAGAGAGCTCAAGGAGAGGAGAGGAAGAAGGGAAGAATGCTGAAAGCATTTTGAGAAAGTTCGTGTGCAGTTATTTATGTAAGCATCTCCACCACTGAAAATTGAGCCCTGAATACATGATACTATGCTTTTCTTAGAACACTTGTTTTCCATTTGATACTCTGAAATGCATATATTATTTGGACAAATGAACCAAAAGTTTTTTCAATTTTTTTTTTTAATTCTTCAGGATTTATGATTCAGGATGGCCCTTTTGGATCTTGTGAAAATAAGTACTGTGGTTTGGGAAGACACTGTGTTGTCAGCAGAGAGACCGGGCAAGCAGAATGTGCCTGCATGGACCTTTGCAAACGGCACTACAAACCTGTATGTGGATCTGATGGAGAATTCTATGAAAACCACTGTGAAGTGCACAGAGCTGCTTGCCTGAAAAAAGAAAAGATTACCATTGTTCACAATGAAGACTGCTTCTTTAAAGGTAAATGCAGGGTGAACCTTAAGTGTCACCCCACTCTATTTCTTTTCTTTCTCAACTAGTGCCTTTAAGATTAAATGCTAGCAATTGTAAATCAGCAAGGGTCTAAAAAGGAAAAGAAAAACAAAATAGCCTAAGTACTCCACTAAGTAGCAGTGTGTGGAAATTTACATGGAAACAGTTCTGATATTCAGTTATAAGAATAAAGCTGGCCAAAATATGACTCAAAATTTAATATAGATTTCAGCATTGCACCATATGGCTTCCCAATCATGAATTATCTTAGGGACACAGGGTGGCCAATTCAGTCTACAGGCCAAATTCAACCAGTAAAAAGCACTTGGAGTGGAATTGAGGGACTAGTGAGTGCCAAGCCATGCTGTGATAACATTTCATTCCTTCCTGATTGAAAATGATGGTTTCAGTTTGCACCATGTAATTCAAATTATATGGAACCAGTAGATGCCCACTGAAATAACTAGAAGAACTCATGCTAAATCTCATTAGTGAATCAGAGATAACCATGGTTTAAAAATTTTAAAGTACTGGTATTCACTTTCCTGCATTTGAAAATCATTGGTTTATAGAAAAGTACTGAATTTGTAATTCAATACATTATTTTTACATGCCATATAAATAAATCATTGAACAGTTTTAACATCATTCAATTTTTATACATTTATTTGTTATTTTCTTGTTCATGCTGTTGGAAATATTTTCTCGTTCATAGTCATGACTCAGTCTGAAATTCTAGAGTTAAATGCGTAGAACTTCCATCAATAAGTAATCTGATTTCTAATCTTTGGTCAGTGCCAAGTCTCAGTTTTTCAGAATATTTCTGAAATGTATTTATACTTAAAAACCTATTTAATATTTTTATTCCTAGCTTAAATGTATGGCTGAAAAATAATTTTATTATACTCCACTCATCCACCTTTTAAGGTAAATTGAATAATTAAAAATTATCCTTTTTCAAACTTACTCTAACACAATATTATTTCCGACGTGATTTAAAAATGACTTGTAGAGCTTTTCAGATGATGCAAGATGCAATGCTCTGTTATTGTTGCTGCTAGAAATCCTTTAACACATTTGAAGTAAAACTAGGATAATTTACTTACCATAGTGTACTGTGTGCCTCATATACATGTGCAGAGAATTTTATGACAGTAAATTCCCTTCTTTTATCAAAACGATAACAAATACTTTGATTTCAAGTTTAGTTCAATTCCCTTTTCTATCAAATCTATTTTATAAATACTTAATGTTTGTAAAATATTAGAGAATTTTTTTCTGTCATTTTGACACAAGATGGTACAGTGGAAATTATACTATTGCACTGACACCTGACACTATGAAATTATGTACATAATATATAATATGTAACTATTCAAATATTTTAACTTAGCATCATATTCTCAGATTGAAGATTTGTTCACCTGACATCCATATGGAAACACATAATATTAAATATCATGTGGGGGCCTGGCACAGTGGCTCACGCCTGTAATCCCAGCACTTTCGGAGGCCGAGGTGGGCAGATCACCTGAGGTCAGGAGTTCATAACGAGCCTGGCCAATATGATGAAACCCCGTCTCTACAAAAATACAAAAATTAGCTGGGCATGATGGTGGGTGCCTGTAATCCCAGCTGCTCTGGAGGCTGAGGTAGGAGAATCTCTTGAACCCAGGAGGCGGAGTTTGCAGTGAGCCGAGATTGTGCCACTGCACTTCAGCCTAGGCAACAGAGAGAGACTCTGTCTCAAAAAAACAAGTAAATAAACATATATAAATATCATGTGGGAAAAATAGTTTGGTGTATTTAATGTTCTGTTTTGTAGCTGTATGCTTAGGTGTAATACCATTCAATGTCAGGATAGGGTAGATGAACAATAGATTGATTTTATTATAAAGTAATGGTTTATAGATTTTATTATAAAGTAATGGTTTGAAGAACTTCAGTCTTATACTAAACATTTTTATTAGATCTATTGTTACTTAAAAATACTTTCTCATCATGTGTAATATTAAAATTTCATTTATACTGTCTGGGTTATTTACCAAGGGTTAGCATATTTTCCAGGTCTCAGAAATTATGGGTCTTTTTTTCACTTAGGTACTTAACTTGGTGTTTTGCCTAATATACAACTAACTTGTAAAATGACTTTATTTCATCAGAAGGCAGTAAATAATGTAAACCAGAACAATAAATTGCCTGTCTTATTAGTGTGCATTGGGCCAAGTTATGATTGTAAAAGAAGATTCTGTAAAGCTGAGGCCTGATATTAATTTGAGAGCTAAAATTAATCATAATTGTGAATTATATTTTTTGTGGAGTTTCAGCAAATTATATTGCTTGCTATAGTGGCCCGGTGGAAGAAATAAATCAAAATATTAGGTTAAAGAACTGCAAAACTGTATATTCATTTAGATATTTTTTAAAGAAAAAAATGAAAAGGTAAATTAAAAAAAAACAGAAAATATATTTGCTACTTTTAGATTTTTAAAAGGTGATTGTGAAAACCTTAGAATGTTAAAAAACTGTTGGCCAAATCCAGTTCACAATCTGTATTTTTCTGTAAAGTTTTATTGAAACACAGTTACACCCATTGGGAAAGGAGAGTTAAGTAGTTGCAACAGAGATCTTACGACCTCTAAATGCCAAATGTCTTCTTATGTGGATCTTTTCAGAAAAAGTTTGCTAACCCCCTGCTGTAAAAGATTTTTGGTACTTTAAAATTTATTTTAAAAATTAGTAGCAGATCTTTACTCTTCTGTATCTTCTCGACTATCTTGATGAATACAGAGACCTACATATGTGGTAAAATTAAGTAGAACTAAATATATATGCAAATGGTGGAAATAAAACAGGAAGTCTTAGTAAGACCTAGGGATAGTGGTAAAGTCAATATCCTGATTAGGATATTGTACTCTAATAATACAAAATATTACCTTTAAGAGAAGCTGGGTAAAGATACATGGGATATATCTGTATTATTTCTGACAAATGCATCTCACGAAAAAAAAATTTTAATTAAAAATTCCTGGAAAAATATTGGAAGATATGTAAAAGTTTTTAAAGAAAGCAAGATTTGCATTATTCCTTACTGATTTACACTTTAAGGTAAGTCCTGTTTGTTTATATCAGATTTATATTTGGCATTTATGTTTAAATTTATTAAGGCCGGGCGCAGTGGCTCACACCTGAAATCCCAGGACTTTGGGAGGTTGAGGTGGGTGGATCACGAGGTCAGGAGTTCAAGACCAGCTTGGCCAACTTGGTGAAACCCTGTCTCTACTAAAAAAACACAAAAAAATTTGCTGGGCGTGGTGGTAGGCGCCTGTGATCCCAGTTATTTGGGAGGCTGAGGCAGAGAACTGGTTGAACCTGGGAGGCGGAGGTTGCAGTTGCAGTGAGTGGAGATCATGCCACTGCACTCCAGCCTAGGTGGCAGAGCAAGACTCTGTCTCAAAAGAAAAAAAAAATTATTAAAATAATTCATATTTGTAGAATCGGGTGTATTGATGCATTGTTTTAAAGTTAAAATCCATGTTAAAACATCTACATTTCTATATAAAATATTTTTATGTATACCTATACCTGTATATCATCTTTCTGTTACTTAAGTTACATATTGAAATGCCTCTGTGGTAATCTCAACATTTTTTATTACTATTGACTTTTAAATATACACATAAATTTACCAAGAACTTTTTAGTGATTTATGATATGTAGAACTATAGATAAAATAAACAATATACCTATGAATATAATATTTTTCTAATTTATTCCTATTCACATTTATTTGATCATGAAATAGCTGGCTATAATCGGATATAGAATATTGTAGTATTTGTTTATTGGCATCAGATACTTTGTGATGATGCTCAACGTAACATAAAACATTCTATTTTTATAAAATGCCTAGCTGTTCATTTTTGATGAGACAGTTCTGCCTTAAAGTCATTTCCCTCACAAAGGGCTTCCTAACTGCAGCAATTCACAACATCCCTTAAAGCAAGCACAATTTCCTCTCACCCTGGCATCTGGTCATTCCCTCATACAAAACATGTATACTACTCAGAGTATAGATGTAAACTGGAGTAAGAAACGCAAGATATAACCTATGCCAAAATGAACAGGGATTTAAACCTTTTATGAGAGTCAATTGAACAGAAATCCTTCTGCTATTTACTGTGCTGAGAATAAAACTGCCATAAAGGCAAATGTTCTGTGCACTTAAATGTGCATCGCAAACAATAACAACTTGAGAAATACGGTTGTCACAGCTATCTGTGCACGATTAGCATGAGATCTGACATTGTTTCCATTTTTGAGACATAATCTGAACAGACTTTTGTATTACATATTTAAATTAGTTATTTTACCTGATTTTTTATTTTCTTCTTTCTTTTTTTTTTAAGAAGGAATTTGTAGATTTTAGGCTAAAAAACTGGCTGCCAGATATATTTTAAAATATATTAGTAAATGTCATGTGCTAATCCACATGTATTTTTTTTTAAGTAAGGGCACCTTTGTAAAGCTTCTGTTTTATGTTAATACAGCCTTTTATACCATTTAAACAAAAATAGCAGCCTGAATAAATCTATATACACTGAAAAATGATATCCAGATTTTTGTTTGTTTGTTCTGTTTTGTTTTTGTAGTCAGTATTAGCCAACTGGAACTGCAGGTTGATGATGAAATACATGACTTGGACAATAAGAAATGTAGATAAACTTTTTTGAGGCCAGAATACTGGCACACAGTGTTTCCAGTTCCTCTGAATTCACTTAGTACCCACAACATCAAAACCAATTTTATTAATCCTTTATGTTTGGCACATCTATGTTAACATTTTTTTAATTCGGTGATGTGAAACCTTACATATTTGATATGTTTACCTGCCATTTATAAATACATAGTAGATATATGATAAATGTTTTATATATGTATAATAAAATAATCTAAAAGAGGTGATTAATACTTAGGCAGACTCGTCA